TAAATATATTAGTTTATAAAAAATGTGATAATAATTAGACATAAATATAAAAATTTAAACTGATCCAATAATAACAGATACAGTGGTGAACAAAAATATTCTAAGTTGAAAACAGGCATTAACACTTCTTTTTATCCTCTTGCATTTGCCCTTTTGTTTTTAAGTGCAGGATCGAACAAATCGATGAATGATGAACAAAAACAAAAAAGAAGTGCACAGTACACAGACACAAACGCACAAACACACAAACACACAAACACACAAGACCAATCCAAGTGAACGGGTCAACCTCCGATTGGAACACTTTGTTGTGGAAAAGCATTTTCTATCACCGTCTCTCGATGAGAATTAAAAACTCATCATTTTCCCTAGGTGACACTTTCTGTTTCTGCTTTTTGAAAGATGCCCCCATTGTCATTTCTCCTGCTACTTCCACTTGCTATTTCTTTCCAACCAGTTACAAAATAAACAATTTAAGTTGACTGGCTGATAACATAGCTTGGTTACTGTTTAATTAGATAAGATGACGTCATTAAACGACACGAACATAACAAACATGAGATTATTGCCAAGTTTAATATCATTTGTATGTGCATACACACAACTAGGGAAGGTCAAATTGTATTGGGATCCTTTACTAGATCCCTTTCACCTTCCCTAGTACATGAAGTCCTCTTAAATATCGTGTGGGCGTATGAATGACCTAGTTCTAGGCCTTAACGCAAGAATTTCCCGATAAATAGAGGGTTTGTTTTTTTCTTTTCAAAAGTGAATGAAACGGGAGAGCAATTTATAAAGATGGGTTTGTTCAATTTATGGTGTCCTCGTCTTTGTCGTTATTTCTCTTTTGACCATGTATTATTAGACCAAAACACGACATTAGTAGTATATTTATTTTATATAAGTCATTCAGGATTTTTTGATGAATTTTTATCCAAAGTTGAAAAGAGTAATGAGCCACGTGGGACAACTCTCTGTTTTCATATCAACACGTGGCCACTAGGAATAAACACCGTAGTTGAAGTTCACGAGAGATTTTAAATGTGCTCTGAATATGAATACGGATGATATACATGTCATTACATAATTGGGGAGACATAGAGAACGTTTGGATGTTTATATATGCTTTTAAAATGACTGAAAGCGTTTTTGGTCAAAATGTTTTTGAAATCAATTTTTAGTAAAAATGCAAGTAAATTCTAGAAAAACACTTAAAGTGCTTCTTGGAAGAAGTACGTAACTAAAGTTTTTGAAAATAAAATACATTTTCTCTAAAAACGCTTTCAATCATTTTAAAAACACGTTTAAACGAACCCATAAAGTATAAAGCAGAAAACTTTTCTCCATTTACATAATCACGCGTCCAAGTTCAATGGACTCCAAATCGACGGTTGCTGTTCCTCCATTAACCCACAAAGGACAACCTTAAAATTCTAAAACCCAATCCTCAGATTTTTCCCTCTCTCTCTTCTGTAATCTCTCAGCGAGCTTAAGAGCTGGAACTTAAAGGTAAGTTTTTGTTAATTTTGTTGTTCAATATAATCATAACCCGTTTAGCGGTTTTGTTTGACCAGCATTCCTGTGCATTTCAAGCTTGTTCTGTTCGTAGTTGACTTAATATTGAATTAATTAATTAATTCTGTTTTTTTTAATCGAAAAGTTTGGTCCTTTTCTTCTCATATGCATTTGTCAGTGCTTTTCATCTGTCAAATGTAAGGTTTCCGCTTGCTTTTTATGCTTTAGTTTGTGAATTTCTGAGGTTTCAAGGTTTCCATGTTTGTAGATTTACTTGCAGAGGTTTTGATTTTCATTTTTGTGTTCTAATGGATTTTTAGGGTTGAAGAGGGAAATTGATTTGGTAGGAAATTCTGCTGCTTTTTTGGATTTGGGTTTTCTCTCTTAGTTGAGATTCTAGAGAGAGAAACTGTAGAGGGAGAAATTACAAAGTAGATGGCAATGGATCCTCGTCTTAGGGCTTTCTCTGATTCTTTCAATGGAGTTCAATTGGGGAACCAACCTTTACCCATTCTTTCACAACCAACCGTTGTAGCCGGATCCCGATTCGATAGTAAAGCCTGCTTGGACAATAATTACAGAAATTTCGATTACCCTCAACCCGGTCTTACCCCGAATAGTGTATCTTCGTTCTCGAGTGTGAGTCCTGAGGATGATTCTGCCGAAGATTGTGACTTTTCGGATGTAGTCTTGAAGTACATAAACCAGATGCTCATGGAAGAAGATATGGAGGAAAAAACCTGCATGCTTCAAGAGTCGTTGGAGCTTCAAGCGGCCGAGAAGTCATTCTATGAGGTCCTTGGAAAGAAATATCCCCCCTCCCCTGATTTATACCGGGGTTATGCCAGTCAATATGGTGAGAGCCCGGGTGAAAGTTCATCTGGAACTTGGAGTAACTATATCACTAGTAGTTGCAACAGTGGTGGTTATTTCGGTGATAATTCCTCGATTCAAAGTCCAGATGGATATTCGTCTCAGTTACAGGGTCTTCAGGATTATAGCATTTCTCAATCATTTAGCGGGTCTTCAACTAGGGTCAGTAGCCTCGACGGGCTGGTGGATGCTCCTAGTAGTAGTATTTATACCCCAGATTTGAAGACTGAGAGCCAATCTATTTGGCAGTTCAGGAAGGGGGTTGAGGAGGCTAGTAGATTTCTCCCTTCCGAGACTAATTTGGTTGTTGATTTGGAGGCAAATGGGATGTCGGTACGCGCGCCAAATGTTGGGACAGGTGCGCCATTTGTCAAGGCGGAGAGAAAGGATGGAGGAGAATATTCTTCTGGTAGGTCAAGGGGAAAGAAGAATCTATATAGGGACGACGAAGATGTAGAGGAAAAAAGGAGTAGCAAGCAAGCTGCTGTTTCGTCTGAATCTCCTCTGCGGTCAGAGATGTTTGATGTTGTATTGCTTTGTAGCACAGGGGAGGGTCGGGAGCGTTTGGGTTCTCTTCGTGAGGCCTTGCAAAATGGAATGAGCAAAAGTGTGCCACAGAACAGGCAATCCACAGGATCTAATCGAGGAAAAGGTCGTGGTAAGAAACTGAGTGTTAAAAAGGAGGTGGTGGATTTGAGAACCCTCCTAATTAGTTGTGCACAAGCAGCTGCAGCTGATGATCACAGGACCGCAAATGAACTGCTAAGGAAGGTCAGACAGCATTCCTCACCTTTTGGAGACGGGACACAGAGACTTGCTCATTGCTTTGCTAATGGCCTTGAGGCACGCTTGGCTGGTACTGGTAGCCAGATTTATAAAGGTCTTGTTAGCAAAAGGACATCGGCTGCCGATATCTTGAAAGCTTATCATCTGTACCTTGCTGCATCTCCATTTAAGAAGATGTCTAATTTTGTTTCAAACGTCACAATCAGGAATTTAGCAGAAAAATCGACAAGGCTCCACGTCATTGATTTTGGTATCCTTTATGGTTTCCAGTGGCCCACCCTTATTCAACGGATCTCATGGAGGGAAGGTGGACCCCCAAAGGTTCGGATTACTGGAATTGAATTTCCTCAACCAGGATTTCGGCCAGCTGAGCGAGTTGAGGAAACAGGAAGACGTTTGGCAGCTTATGCTGAGAACTTCAAAGTGCCGTTTGAGTACAATGCTATTGCAAAGAAATGGGAAACCATTACACTTGAGGAACTCAAGATTGACAAGGATGAAGTTCTTGTTGTGAACTTTATATATCGGGGTAAGAACTTGCTTGATGAAAGTGTGTCTGTGGATAGCGTAAGAAACAGAGTTCTTGCTTTGATAAGGAGAATCAATCCAGACATTTTTATCCATGGAATTGTTAACGGAGCGTACAATGCCCCCTTCTTTGTTACCAGATTTCGAGAGGCGTTATTTCATTTTTCTGCACTGTTTGATATGCTTGAAACTGTTGTTCCACGCGAGGATCAGGAGAGGATGTTAATTGAGAAAGAGATCTTTGGTAGGGAGGCTATGAATGTTATAGCCTGTGAGGGCTGGGAGAGAGTCGAAAGGCCAGAAACGTACAAGCAATGGCAAGTTCGTAACTTGAGGGCTGGATTTGAGCAAATACCTTTTGACCGAGAGCTTGTAAAGCGGGCGGCTAAGAAAGTGAGCTCTCTTTACCACAAGGACTTTGTCATTGATGAAAATAGCCAGTGGCTGTTGCAGGGATGGAAGGGACGAACCGTCTTTGCCCTCTCTGCTTGGAAACCTGCTTAAGAAATGTCAAACGCTACAGTGCTTATAATCTGCTTCTCAGCTTCTTCAACACGGATGCTTGGGGAATTAAAGGTAATCATGTTCCTGGGTTTATGTTTTTGTAATCTTTAAATCCTCGTCTCTCCCTCCCTAATCCTCCTCTCTCTCTCTCTCTCTCTCTCCCCCCCCTAACATATGTTAATATGTGGCAGGTGAATGGGGTTGCTGACTTTAATTTTTGATTGTTAATTACGGATCAAGGATGCTAAGAGATGTTCATTAGAGATGCTTTGTCTCCTTGGTAGAAATCTTGGGGAATTATCGAGTAACTCTTCTCTTCGGTCAATTTGGATCGTGCGATGCACTCTTACCATGGCGTCTGATAATCCGATAGACCCCTCCAGCAAATTACAAGTTCGTCGCATGTTCGCAATCTTGTTCGATTTTAACAACCAGAACAACATAATGTGCAGTTTTACACTAGTTGTATTAAAGAAACTCTTTACTTTTGCTCATTAGTCTCCTTCCTCCTTTGTGTTTTTAGTTAGAAAGGAGTGCAGCTGCCTATTTTGAAGTGTCAGTAACAACTTTCGTAACGTATTATTATTATTATTATTTTTGGTACGTCTGGAGTTGTCCTGCATATAACATTTGGTATAGTAGTTGGCATTTCCCTTGTTTCTAAACCCTACATGTCACGGAAGTGATTGTCGCACGCCCTTTGATCTCTATTTTTGCTTTTGGATTGAATAAATCAAAAGGTAGACAAATAGAAGTGAGATTTCCAACATCACAATAGTAAAAGAAGCCAACTCTTTTGGGATCAAATGCAAAAATGCCACTTTGATGGAAATTTAATTAATCCTTCACTTAGTATATGAATGATAAACAACTGTCAGTGACTATTATCATTTTGTTAGGCAAACCCATAACATAGTGCAATGTAAGCTCATCATTTTACATCTCTTGGTGTGTCACTTGGATGCGCCAAGGGCGTTGTTCTAAGAAAGTTATTCCGCTTGGACTATCAACCACAGGTTTCCATGTACGAAACTTTCTAATATTTTGGGAGAATCTGCGGTCTTCCGATGTGTATACACCAAAATCTCTGTCTCACTCGTCAAGTTCTTCAGGCAACCTTGGCTCGTCGAACCATCGAGGAGGATCATATCCAGTCCCACCTAAGAAAAATGAAATATGAAACAATTCACCTAAACTTAAGAGACCCACAAAAGGATTAAATGAAATCCCAACAAAGTTAATTAGGAAAGTGTTAAGTTAATTACCAAGGGGATTACAACGACAGATTCGCCAAGCAGTCAAGATGGAACCTTTTGCAAATCCATACTTCTTGTAAGCTTGCATCGAGTACTCACTGCAGGTTGGTACATAACGGCAACTCTTCAACATCAGAGGTGAGATTTCCCCTGCATTTTTTACCCAATTAATTTACTTCATTTTTCTTTTGACAAGCGATATTCTAACTACTCTAATTTAAGTCGAATGGGGAGCACGAACTGCTTTAGCTAATTGGTCTAACCTGAATCGGCTATTAATCGCGTTTTTCTAATACAATTAGAGGTGAGATTTACGCTAAGATACGCAGTACACCAACCATAATTTAGTATCGAAGTCGCCATATATAAGAGTCCATCGCGGCCTATTAGTCTTAATGAAGGAGAAATGTTACAAAACCGTAATTCTTACGTTTTAATAAGCGATAAATAATAATTAGAAAAGAAACTTACTTCTGTAGAATTTGAGTAGAGATAGTGCAGCTTTAACCCCCAAACTGTCCACTTCCTTATCTGATTGCAAGCAAACTGCCTTCTGAGCACGGAAATGTTCAAAAATCGAGAGAGAGAGAGAGAGAGTACCTTGTGGATTGTTTGGGTCGGACTGCGAGTCTCCATTGGCTCCATGGATTATTGGGCGACGACGAGCCGTACAAGAATTGTATTGAATGGGGTAAATTTTGCGGGAATTGAAGCTAGGGTTTTGGGATTGGGGATGAACAGCTATAGCCAGAGGTTTATGGTAGTTAACCAACATAACGACCGCCATCTTCAGCTACCCTTTTCAGTCATGCGTGCTTATGATATTTTCTTCCTTGTCTTTGTTTTTTATCACTTTTTTTTCAATAATAAATATCAATATGAAATTATTTGGAGAAACTTATTTGAATTTCTTAAATAGTACATAACATTGGATGATACAAGAATGAGAATATATTTTATGGTGCTTTTAAAATGACTTAAAAATACTTTTAATGAAAGTGATTTTGAAATCAATCATTACTAAAAATACAAGTGAATCTTGAAAAACATTTGAAGTACTTTTTGTTCAAAATGCACTTTTAAGTACTTTTGGGACTAAAAAACACTTTTACCAAAAGCACTTCAATAGTTTTAGCACTTCCAAATAAATCATGAATGGCTGAAACTGAAGATAAAAGAGTTTTATAGTAGAAATTAAATTTAACAGTTAAAACACTTTTGGTATTGTATGATAATGTCTTTAAATATTATTTACAAACAAGTAGCAAAGAGTTGTAGCCATGAACAACAAAAGGCAGAGGCCGACAAAGCTTCACCAAAGTGGCAACAAAAGACGGAAAGAGTACACCAAGTAAAGCGCAACAGACAAACACTAACTATTCATGGAGGTATTCCATTCCCATGAAATAATCTCATTAGCAACTGAATGGGCAATTTCAAGAAACTTATCAATAGTCTAATAGTGGATCTAATTCAGTTGAGAACCACCGCAGTTGGTTGACATCTATTCTTGAATATACGTTTGTTCCGCTTCCTCCAAATATAAAAAACGGTAGCAACAAGACACAAATACAAACGACAATAGAGATTTTTCCTTTCAACTAGCAACCCACACAAGAAGAGGAGGCCCAAGGAGCTTTAGCCAATACAACACTCGAACACCGCCGAATACTAAATACCATCAATATAAGGACACCGAAAGAAGAGGTGGCAATGAATTTCTGTAGCACTAGAGTAGAGGACGCACACGTGATCGGAGGCAACATAGCAAAAATCAAAATCCTATCCATAGTGAAAAGCTTGCATTTAACGGCCAACCAGAGAGAAGAAACTCGTCTGGTGAATATTTTGATTATACCAGACAAGTTTAGACCAATATACATTAGGCTTAGATTGCCAAAACCTATCCAAAGCAGAGTAGATGCCAAAGGACAAAGGAGTCCATTGAATCATATTAGCCAAGCTAGGATTTTGAACAATATTAGACAAAAATTTGAATTTCCAACCACTCATGAGAAGAAGTATGAGTTCAACACAAATTAAAACCATTCAGAATATTACAAACCAAAGCAGTTTTAGGCAGTGCGGAACACAATGATATTGCAACCCGACAATTTTATAAAAAATATTTTACCTAATGTGAGCTTTTATATAAATTTAGTTTGCTTAATTATTTTTCTCTCTCAACGCTCAAGGTTGAATATCTTTGCTTAAATGAATATCGTATTTGTTAATAGTGGCATACTATGAAACCATTTTATGGCGTAAGCTTAAAAAGGTTTGTTTGTACCATATTTCATTAATCTTGAAACTATCAAGCACCGTCAATTTTATATGTTTAAGGACCCATTGAAGGATTGTGTTGAGGCACTCCTGCCGAAGCACAATAGTTTCTCTCCAACACGAGACCAATCACAACACAACACAGGTCAACATTAGAATAAAACTCAGTCCCACATCAACCGTGAATGAAAGCCGAAGACCCTCCTCATCTATAAAAGGAGATCTTTCTTCCTACAATTAAGGACAAATGCCATTATTGTACTTAAACTCGTAATTAGAACTCACTAATGATGATAATGCTTGAATGTATGTATTTTGTAAACTCTTTACTGTTAATGAGAGCTCTACTCTGTGAACGTAGCCCAACTTAGGATGAACCATGTACACTCTGTGTTTGCTTTCCTATCTTTATCCTTCTACAAATTCACCCACTTATTGACTGGAGCAACTGTGTGAAGTCGCAAACTTGACACTTTACGTTGTTCCAAAGTCTCACCAATTTTGTGCATCAACAAGGTTAAAACTTATTATTCCCAAACACGACCACATCCTACATATTTTAATAAGTTTAGGGCTCATTTGGTAAGTGCTTTTAAATGACTAAAAAAGTTTTTAGAGAAGATTTTGGAACCAATCCTTGTTAAAAATGCAAGTTAATCATGGAAAGCCCTTAACGGGCTTCCTGCAAGAAGTACATAACTGATTCTTGCAAGAAACACTTCAAGTGCTTTTAAAAGTCAAACATTTTCTCTAAACGAGCTTTCAATTATTTAAGGCACTTCCTAAACGAGCCTTTAGTTCTCAATTGGTAAGGCAGACAATAAAGGAGAAACCAAGGTTTCCCTGTCAAAGAACACCAAAATTCATAAGCCAAAATAAGAGAAAAGGTAAAAACAAGCTCTGGCGCATTATTAAAAGTGCAGGCACAGTGACATGCTAGTTCCTTGATCCCTACATAACAAATTAAAAACTGTTCAAGCTACATACACATATGCTACTTCATTTTCTACCCTTTTTGTCCCAGTATAAACAGAAACTCATACGGGGAGATGTTCGCTTTGGCATTACAGAAGCCAAAAATCAAAATCGGGTAGTGATCTGGGAAAATAAAGCCTTAAAATCCTTGGTCGGTGTCCCAGTTCCCTCCGGCTTTGAGGCCAAATCAAAAGCCTTGAACTTGGCCTCCTCGAACTGCAGTGCCTGATCAAAATATAAAACGCAAACAGTTCAGTACAATGCATAACAATTGCTCGAAAAGTTGATACTGAGATGCATGCTAGCTTTGAGGTAAGCAGAGAAAAAGGAAACAAAGAAATAATTTATTCGCACACCCCTGTACACAATACCTGAATGCAGACTTCTGCGACATCAGGTCTAGCAATGGTTCTTGTTTCGGTCTTAAGAAGCTCGTCATCCTTCCCTATAAGTAGTTCACGGTTGCCTCCTTCTTTGTCTTGCAAGCCTCCAGCCCTAGTTTAACCATAGACGTCTAAGTCAGTTGGAAGTCAAGGAACAAAAGGAGACCAGATTGAGGCATAACTAGGTATAGAATTTAGTGATTTGAACTTGTGTTGACACTAGACTGATGCACATAACAAGCAGACAATCTTGAGTAAGAAATGAAATCTAGGTATCGTTCCAGCAGACAAGATTTAGTATCTGTATTCATGAGGGATCACAACAATAAAGGGCTGTTTTGGTGTTTTAGAAGTTCTCAAACATTGTGTTGGATAAAAATATAAAACCCAATGCAAAGTAGCATAAACAATGGCTTCGTATATCTTCATTGTGAGGGTTGTTGTCATAAAAAGACTTCTATTTTTCCGGTAACAGTAGTAAGGAAAGCAACCAGTGATGTTACAAAGTCTATTCAATACAAACATATTGTTTGAACCGAGTCTGAATATAACTGGACCAACCTTATGATTGTGTATGGAATTCCGGAGTCAGCCAAATACTGCTCAGCCTTCCTCTTCCAAACCTGTGTAGTAATATATTGCATAAACATTTATATTTAACATATAAGCAGGAAGGAATAGATCAGCAAAGTCAAATTCCATTTCCACAAACAGAAGGCCGAAAAGCAACCACAAAAGGTGGTAATTCAAATGTAGAAAGGGATTACTAACCAATATGTTGCCATTACCCAATTTGTTCAGGGGATTGTTAAGATCTGTTCCACCCATAGACCCAACTAACACAATCTGCTTCGCTCCCGCAGCCTTAGCTGTTCACATTTATCATATAATTCAAAACTTACAAGTTGAAATGAACCATGTTTCGATTGAATGGAAACAAACATAAAAATTCTCACCAGCATCTATTTGGTTCTTCTGTCCAATCCAATCAACCTAAGATGCAAACCATGTATCAGAACAAGGAGCAAACCAGAGATTCTGAACACCACCGTTGTAGAACCACCTACTTACAGTGTCCTAAAGTCATAAAAATGACAGAAATTACCTGTTCAGGATACGACCCGTCTTCAAAATAGAACTCAGGCCTCCCACCTTTGGTTGGATCAAAGCCAGGTTTCATCTTAGGCACAGCGCTTGTAAGGATTATGAGAGCATCAATGCCTTGGATCGCAGGTAGAATGCTGTCAGCATCCCTTATATCTCCAACATAAAGATCATCTGCTCCGCCAATGCTCTGTTTGCTCTCTTCAGTCCTAACCAGACCCCTAGCAACATACTGGTCTGACCTCTCCTTTAACTTCTTATAAACTAGTTTACCTGCCAAGTTTCCACCAATAACACATTTCAATCAGAAACCTATCCTTAAACAGAGTGGAAAGACAATTTCCTATCCTGCTTCCGTCGCCATAGATGTTGAGCAAATAAAACCCAAACAAACACATTCACAGTAACAAAACATACTTCCGTTGCCATAGATGTTAAGTCAACTCAAACTACACACATTCACGATAACAAAGCACGCTGACTGTTACCAAAATCACAAAACCCCAAACCCTAAACCAGTCACCTTACGCTTACAGCGTGCAACACACCGGGCATCTCTGCCACTCAACAGACATGCTTATCCACAAAAACACCCAATTATCTCACACATTTCTGCTCACACTAAGGGACTGCACAGGTCCCATTACCCCACCATTAATCCCACAACCCAAATACTAAAATACACATCTTGTAATGCTTTGTACTAAAAGTTCTTAAATTTATTGAGTCCATGACTCACTCAGGATTATAGATTCATAATCTAGGAAATATAAACAATAATCCACTCGAATTTAGGGAGCTGTTACGCACTCCAAAAATCTCATTTTGCCCTGTGTATTTTTCTTTCTAAATGTAAAAAGTTTGGACGGCTAATAACAATTCCTAAATTTATTGTGTTACAATTTAGTTTAGATAAATTTAGTTTAATTATCTTATCGTTTATAAAAAAGAAAACTTGAATTGAGATTAAAACTAGGGATACTTTGAATACGGTCCCTAATCCTTAACATTTTTTGACTAAAACCTTAATGGTACACCTCATTATATTACAATTAATATTTTTATTTTTACAGTTTTGACATTAATTGTTTGATATTTT